TTTCCAAACTATACAAATTATGCATGTGATAAACACAACAGAAAGCTTATTTTCTTAGTTTGACGCCAATAGGTGCTTCGTATCAACCGCCAGATTAAGCCAATCCTGTACTACAGATTAAATTAATACTAATTCCTGGAAGTAATTATTATTTCATAATCTTGAGATCGCAGACATATATCTAACATGAATAGATGACATTGACAAATTATCTCCTCAGTGAAAAAAAAATACCGTAGGAAATACTGTAAAACATGTTGAAAAAGCGGCATGCAATTTTAGCGAATTGTGGTAAAAACAAAGAAAACTGTAAGTGTAATTAGGAAGCGCCCCAGATTTTTACGTTCCGGATTACTGTATACAAATCCCCAAGCATTGGTCGTTTTGAATTTATAATAAAGTCATTAGCGACATCTTGTATTAGCCAATCAGTTCTCTTGCTAAATTCATTAAAAGACATGCTCACGAAAAAGACATGTTTTACAGTAACCTTTACATTTACGTCATCAGCATCAAAGTGTCGACAGTTGTCAACAACTGGAAAGAAATATCTCGTACAAAGGAATTATCCACAATCCAAAGTTAGCAAAATGCTCATATAAATGGACTCCTGGCAAAAAAAATAATACCAGTAAATAGAAACCTATCAATAGATGTACCATATTTGCTCTATTATTAGTGCATGCTCTTATGTGAATTACAGATGTTCTTCTATGGTCAAAATAAGTTTCATTTTAATGATTCAGGTACATGTATATATCAAATGCAATCAAGGGCTTATACACGTATACGCTTGTATGAAAGATTCACTAATAATAGAGCAAATGACAAATGGCTAATTATATTGACAAGTATGGAGCCGGCAACCATGTTTTAACACATCCCCTGCTGTAAGCCTCTACTGTGGCCAAAATATGAATGGGAAAATTATACCTAAAAAAGAGCAAAACATTGCCCCGTCTGTAGTTGTTAGAGTAGAAATCATTCACAAAATAGATCAAACATGTTAATAATCATATACCTCATTATTTAAACAAATTCCAACCATCAAATAATTACAAGAAGGATACCAATACCACAAGAAATATATCAGAGTCCTACTTCAAATTTCGAAGATTTATGTTAAATTCTCTACCGATAATCCGTTGTCTGTTGCTGTGTTTTAAATAGGCGTCTGACGGTCAGCCATACAGCTAATGTTGCCCCACAACAAGCAGCCTCTCGGCTGAGATAGCTCTGCTGTGAGCAA